GTCAATTGGGGACATACTTTTTTTCTTTCCAACATTAATTCAAACTTACTTTTTTCATTTCTCTGGTTATATTGGAATTTAATCATTTATTTAGTTCTATTCTTATTTTATTAATTTTTTGCGTTATTTTTTTATATTATATATTCGTATTCTATTATCTGTTTTCATTTAATAATATATATTTAGTTCTTATTATTATTTTTTAATTACAAATTTTTTTTTAATCGTTTCATTGTTTCTTTATTTATGCTTGTAAAATGTAGCAACTTATTTTGTTTTTATTTACGAAATTCACTTAACGTTGATTTTAAAATTTTTTAATTTTTTGTAAATTACCCTTAGTTTATATTTATTATGCAGTAATTAAACACTATTAACATTGCTGCGCTCACTTTGTTTATATTGGTAATTTGCGATTTTTTTCCTTCATTTTCTTAATCGTATTTAAATTTTACAACTTAATACTATTGCGTCATTTTAATTCATTTAAATGTATTCATTTAATTTCCATAATTTTTTTTTTAATTCTTTTATTAATTTATTTTTTTTTAATTTATTTTTTGTTTTTATTTCTTTTTACTTAAGCTCACTTGGCAAAGCTATCGTAGTTTTTTTATTATTATAATTTTTTTTTGCAATTTTCGAATTTTTCACACTGACGAGTTTTCGACGATTATTCAAATCAGTTATTTTATTTACTTATTTTTTTGCTTTTTCTTTTGCCATTAAATTTTATTTAAGTTATTTTTTGGCATTTTTAGCCATATTGATTTTCAATAATATTTCATATGCACTATTATATATTATTACATTAATATTTTTATTATCATCTTCAATTTTACTGCTTCATTTCTTATGCTTCGCTCTTGCAGCTTATTAACTTGCCAAAAAAAAAATAAGTTCACGTAACAACACTACACTGAGATGTTGATAAAGTCCCAACACGGTAATAAACGCACAATGTATATCTGTATGTATAAACGAGTGTGTATATATATAAATATTTATAAGAGTAAGGGCAGGCGAGTGAATACACAAATACTGTTGCGAAACAGGTAAACAGCCCACGCTTGCTTGCCTGCCTGCTGCACTTACTCGTGCTGAGCTGAGCTGTGCTGCTCTGCTGTGGGTAGGTCCAGAATTTATTGCTTTATTCGATTTGGAGTTTATTCGCTTGGTTAGTTTGGAATGGTTTTTGTTGTTCTTATACTTGAGATGATGTTACTAAGCTTGACTGAAAGTAGCGGCGAGCATCATACGCGAGCAGGAATATATATGTACGCATATACAGCGCATTACAAATGTATGTATTAATTTATTAAATGGTTGTTGTTGATTTTATTTTATGCACAAATTATTTTTTTTTCTTTGTGGCGGCATTTTTGCTTTATTTAGTTGAAACTGAAGCTGATTTTTTGAAGTTTTTCTTGTTGTTTTTTCTGCTAGTGGTTTTACTTATATTATTTTTTTAATACCTACATATATGTAGGCATTTATATGTTTTTAAAAATAACTGTATTTTTTTTGCTGGATTTTTTATTTCATTTATTTTTTTATTAACTTTTGTTGTTGTTCCTTTTAGTGCTTTTTATTTCTTTTTTATTTACCTTGATTGCCGTTCTCTTTTCGTTAGACACAACCAACCATTAGTACATATTGTTGCCCTCTTACGCTCGGATTATTTGTTTTCTGCTCGTGCACTGGCCTAAGTGGCTTTAACGCTTTTGGCTTTTTGAAAACATTTTTCTAATTTTATTTTTTTTCCATTTTACTATTTCACTTGTCATTTTTTCGCAGTTTCTTGTGCTTCTTCTTCTTCTTCTTTTACCTCTTCTTACACAACTTATATAAGATTTAATGTTCCTTACTGACTAACCACTTGTACTTGCACACACATACATACACACACACACACACCGAGCAAATAGACCAGCAAGTGCCTACGCAGATACGCGAACGTATGTTTGTATGTACAAGTATAAATTTACAGCTTGTATGTATGTGTGTGTGAGTTGCGATAGGTAGGATTTTCCTCAAGTACCTACAACGGTCGTAGTAGTCCTCCGGCGCGTGGCGCGGCGTAGCGTGGCGTGGCGTGGGGTGTTGATGATTTCACTTTCTCACTGCTTTCCGCTAAAATATTTTGTTTTATAATTGCATAAACCAATACCAATAGCAATACCAACAACAATTGGCAAGAGCAAAATTACTTACATATACGAGGTAAAGAAGGAAAAGCGCGTGCACTTTCACAATATTGCCTCGTAGTACTACAGTTATATGCATACATACATATATACACACAATACTTGTTTATTTATAACGATAGCAGTCGTGATAGTAATAGTGGTGTGGTGAGTATGACGTTGTCCGCACTTGCTATACTACGCCAGCCAGTTAAGCAGTCAGCCAACCTGTCTTGGCCAATATTCTATATATGTATGTGTGTATCGGCCAAGAATGTCTGCGCTTTAGTTTCCTTATATTATTACAGTTATTATAGCATATATTTTTATTTCATATCTTTTTTGCTTATTTTGTTTGTATTTGCTTCTTTTCTTCGTTTCTTCTTTTCTTGTTGTTGTTGTTGTTGTTGTTGTTGTTACTCGCCAACGTTATTATTATTTTTATTTTTATTTTTATTTGATTTAATGTTCACTTGAAGCAACGCCACGTTTATAGCTCTCGCATCGAAACGTTGTTAACACGAACGACACCTCACGAAGACTAAACTAACCGTTATTCAAGTATTGGCTATTTAGGCATACAAAAGCTTTTGAAATTTCTTTCGGTTGTGCTTTATTTTGTTTTTCTCTGAACGAAGTTTCGTTAAAAGAGCGTAAAAGCTTGTGGAGTGAGGTATTAAAACAGGCCAACGAGCTTTTGTTTACGCGCCAAGTGAGCTTTGGACAGGTGTTACAGGTATGTTGCTGTATTGGTCGACATCAGCTGAGTCGAGTTCAAATAACTGGTGATGGTTGTTGGTGATGAAGAATTCCTTCCAATATTTATGCGTTTTTAGCAAAATAATAGTTCAGAATTAAAACTAATTTTTTTTTAATTAAGTATAAATTTACCTTTTTTTTCCTTTAATGCCCACCACAGAAGAGTCGATGAAAACAAACTGATTCAAGATGCGGTAGATGGGGATTTTTCATTCTTCTTACTAAATTCTGCGGAAAAATTCCCAAATCAATGCTCTTCCACGGAAGACGGCTTTGTGATGGAGGTAGTCCCAGGACTATCGTCTTCCTACAAGGCTTGTGTAATTTATATAACCAGTCTCTTACTTACTTACTTACTTACTTTTCTGACGTAGATACTCGTAGATACTGCTTACGCGATTATAGCCGAGTTTAAAACATTGCGCCATTTATTCCTTTTTTTCGCTGTTCGGCGCCAAATAGAGATACCAAATAGAGCCAGCTCCTTGTCTACTTGGTCTTTCCAATGGAGTGTATAAATTCCTCTTCCTCTGCTTTCACCAGCAGTATTGAGTACCGCGAAAACTTTCTAAACTGGAGTATTCCCAACCACATGACCTAGCCAGCGTAGCCGCTGCTTCTTGATGTCGCCGTATAACTCGTACAGCTGAAAGTTCTATCTTTTGTGGTATTCGCCGTTGCTAATGCGCAAGGGAACATAAATCTTACGGAACACCTTTCTCTAGAAAACTCTCAGATATTGTCATCGTCCATGCTTACAGGACGAAAACGATGAGGGACTTGTAGAGCTTGGCTTTCGTTCGTCGAGAGAGGACTTTACTTTTCAATTGCCTACTCAGTCCAAAGTAAAACTTGTTGGCAAGAGTGATTTTGCGTTGGATTTCCCGGCTGACGTTATTATTGGTGTTAATGTTGGTTCTTAGATAGACGAAATTATCTACGACTTCAAGGTTATCACTGTCAACAGTGACGTGGGAGGCGAGTCGCAAATGCGATGACTGTTTGTGTGAAAACACGAGATATTTCGTCTTGTCCTCATTTACTACCAGACACATTCGTTTCGCTTTCTTATCAAGTCTGAAGAATGCGAAACTCACGGTGCGGTTGTTGAAGCCATTAATGTCAATACCAAAGGCATAGGCCAGTAACCGTTTACTCTCATACTCCTAGAAGATTGTATCTCCTCTATTAAGCTCCGCAAGACATTGCCTTTAGGGGAGGGATGACCGCATTGAAAAAAAAAGTTTTCTAGAAAGCTTCATCTTTAATTGGTGCTTGGCTGTGAAGTTGACATGCTTGGCATTTCCGGCTTGTAGTTGCGATAGCTGCGCTGCGACTTGCTGCGAACAAGAGAACAAGCTTAAAATGAGAGCAAACGAAATGCTGTTTTCATGGCAGGAAAAACGTTGAATACTTTATAGAAGCTAAATCGTAGTCTCTTGGACCAACTGAGTCACGTTCTTTCCGTTCAAAGGTTTTCAGAAAAGGCCAACGGCCGTTCGGAGGTAGTTTAGAATATAATATAGAACCCTGCATTTATTGGGAAAACATCAAGATGCAAACCACAAATTGGAGGCTGAGCTTGGTCGGAATTGTTTCAATGGCTACAAAGCACCAATTATATACTATATGTGTATATATAATGAGGGCTGAACGCTAATGAACCCCCATTCGTACCCAATACCTCTGGAAGAATTCGAACAGAAGCTTTGAAAGACAGCCGATTCTCGAAAGCAAGAAAGGAGATCTATGAACCAGATTATACAAAAAAAAAAAAACAATATAATATCTGTATAAAAATATAAAAGAAAGAAGATCTCCTCAAAACTGTGAAAGAAAAAAAAGACAATGCAAACACATCTAGTACCAAGATTAAAATTGACTCTCAGAGGGAACTTTGAAAAAAAACCTGCAGTTGAACGACACCTTCCACCTGCCCACTTTGGGCTGGAAATCTGCTGATGTGAATAACAAGATGGTATTCCAGGAAAGCTTTGTATTCCAAATTTAAATCCTCTTCCATAGGCTTTCAATACTAAAAAAAATGCGCCTGAGGTAGTTATGAAAAAACACATTTATTTCAATAATCATTTGACAGCAAAAGTAGTTCCACAAAACACGCATTTAGAACAAGATTCAACACTCGAAAGTTTTGATTTTGCAATTGTAAAAATCACAGTAAATGGGTATGCTTACAATAGTCCTTAATCTAATAGCCATGCTTTTTATAGCCACCCTGACCACCGCTATGACCACCGCCATAGCCGCCGCCAGATCCAAAGCCACCGCCGCTGCCAGAACCAAAACCACCGCTGCCAGCAGATCCAAAACCACCGCTGCCACCACCAGGTCCAAAGCCACCACCACCACTGTGACCAAGGCCACCACCGCCGCCTTGTCCAAAACCACCACCGCCGCCTTGTCCAAAGCCACCACCGCCGCCGCTATGACCACCACCGCCTCCGCTATGACCACCACTACCGCCACCTGGTCCGAAACCACCACTACCTCCGCCAGGTCCAAAGCCGCCACCACCATGACCACCACCACCACCACCACCGCCGCCGCCGCCGCCACCGCCACCGCCTCCACTACCACCGCCAGGACCAAAGCCACCGCCACCACCTGGTCCGAAACCACCACCACCGCCACCGGGTCCGTAGCCGCCACTGCCACCACCATATTTACCACCACCACCGCCATAGGCAGTAACGGCGCTCAAAACCGCCAAGGTAACGAAAATCACCTGCAAGTAAGTGGAAAAAAGGAAATCAAATAAATAAAGCTGTATTTTTGCACTGTATTTATTTATTTAATTCACCGCAAACTTGTTCATCTCTCTACGCTCAATTTCGCTTGTGTCGCTTAGAACATTCACAGAAAACTGATTGATGCTTTCGAAAGAGTTTCGGCTTTTATTGATGGGAAAAAATGCCGACGCAAGCAGATTTTTTTGGCGATACAAACTGGGAATAATCTCAAATACATTTGCTTTGGTGTTGTTGTTATTTTATTTATTTTATTTTTTTATTTTTCAATCAGCAAAAATTATCACTTTATTGATATTTTATTGTTGTATTTCATTTCTCTGCCTCAGTCGCTTTGAATTTATTGCTAAGTTTGCAATTGTGATTGAAATGTTTCACGCTACATACAAACATATATATATATATATATACGAGTATATGCACATATGGACGATTAACTGATTCATGTTGATTGGATTTTGATTGATTTGTGCAAGATTTATGAATTATAAATTTTTTATATCCGCTTAATTGAAAGTTCTCTTTCTTCATAAAAAATGTAGTATTCGAATAGAGGTGCGATCTTAAATATTCTCCCAATACACAAAACACTTCGAAATAAAATATAGAAAATAAAAAAAAAATAGTTTAGGTAAAATATTACATCAGCCATGATTGCTCAGATTTGACTACATAATACATCAGCTTGGCGGAATCATACGAGGGGATTAACAAAAGTTCGGTCATTTGTTGACTTTCAATTTGTTTTTGTTAAATCTAAAATACCAAATCCTTTGCAATCACTTTATTAGTCTTCCTTTCAAATTTTAGAATGATCGGCTAAAGTGGAGATAAGAAAACGCTAGGCAGCTGAGGATAGATTAAATGGAATTCCATAACGAACGCAAACAGAAATTCTCCATGTGATTTTCGACGTAATTTACAGTCAAATAAAAATATACAGTGAATGCCAAATTACATATGGCACAATTACACCGTCTTTAAAGACTATTTTTAAGTAATTCCGAATATTCTTGACTGGGCATTTTTCCGTAAAGGACGAGCTCCGAGAAGCTCAACCAAAATCTTCCACTGATGACGTCACTGTAGCTCTGGTGAAGTCCGAAATTGACAAAGACTCACGATTGGTACAAGAAATGATTGCTAATGAATTGGGCTTGAATGCCATGATGATTGTAACGCGAAAATAATGTAATCAACTGAGATACATGAAGAAAACTGCTCGAGGGGTAACACGAATTTTAAAAAATCCCAAAAAGAGGCTCGAGTATATTTTGCTCAATTTTTCAGTTGGAAAATTTATTACAAAATTTGGTCGGAATCATGTTTTAACTTCGTCCTCTGTGAAGAGATTAATTGAAAAATTCCGCGAAACAGGATACGTTGGACTCAACAAACCCAGTCGACGTTCAAAAACAAGTCATCGAAATGAAAACATCGTTGCATTTCGTAAGAGTGTCGTGTCCATATCGTGTACTTTCTCGTTTTTTTGATAACTATTGGCCCACTAGATCGTGGAATTTAAGGTCATTCGATTTCTTTTTATGGGGCTGTATAAAATCATCAATTTTCTATCCAACTGCTTGGGCCGAAATTTGATTATTTTACTCTACTCATCAATACATAGCTCTCGCAGAAAGTAAAATCTTTTTTATCACTAACTTTCCATTTTACAATCCGTTTTCTACTTTAGAAAATTTCATTTTTGTTTTCCGAAGCTAACAATTTTTTGATTTTCCAATGAAATTGTTTAATCCTAGTTACAACCAGAGCAATAATTTTTTTGATTTTTCTATTTTAGATGTTCTCAAGTGTCCTCAAACCCAATCATCTAGGCCAGCTTTTTTCGTCTTTTTTTTGTGATGCTCACTTCAGTGCTACGAAACAACAAATTACAAATAAAAAAGAAAAAAAATATAATAATAATTTTTTTGGCACTCTCTGAAATGAGTAATATATTTCATATATTAAGAAAAAGCCTTAAAAAATGTAAGCTAGCAGACTATTACTTTAAAAGAGGAGATTCAGTTTTGCATCACTGAAATTTAGTCACATCTTTGCAGAATAGTAAGGATACATACAACGGAGGCCATTTTCCCGGGGTTTATGATTCAGCAAAAAAAAATTACAATCGAAAGTACCCTTTATATGACTAATTGGTATATCAGACATATTAATCAAGTCTTTTGGGAATATATATTACATTGTTTATGCTGCATTCTCTAATAGTTGTAAGAGATTATTCTCCAGTAACTTTTGTTAGATCATTAAAAAATGCTTTGAATAAGTGGACTTAAAAAATTTTAGAATATCTACTTAATTGTTTCCTTAAAAAAGGTGTCTCTGTATGAATACTATTATAAATGATCATGAATTTAATAATCATGAATTACATAACTTTGGAACATATATTGTATAACCACTTCATACATCAGGTCTTAGTATATATTACATTAGTCATTAATTTATTAATCGATTAATTTTTCTTCAATTTTTATTTGTGAGAGCGCAATATGTTTTCCATATGAGCTGACTTAAGCCACTAAGGCGAGTGAGCAATACAAACATAGATTTCCAAAAAAATTTCTAAATTCGACAAAAAAAAACCTGCGGTGTGTTCTGAGGTATTGTTATGATTACAGAGTGAGCGCAATGATATATAGGGTGTCAAATAGACACAACACCGATCGGTAATATAAACTTTTTTTAATTAAGTACAAATATACAAAGAGGATTAAAAAATAAAATAAAATAAAATAAAAATAAATATATAAAAAATAAATAAAAATTAATATAAAAGTAAAAATATAAGATAATGATAATAATTGTAATTTCAAATACAGATGTGCGCATATACATACATATGTACATATATATATTTATACAATATTAAAAAAAATAATTGTAAATACAATCTGTACATCACAGAACAAGGGTAAATGTGCATGTATATACATACATACATATATAAATATCTGCAAACATACAACTACATATACAGAAGTATTCATTGTGGGCACATCTGTAGTGTGTAGTACACGTAGGCTGATCGTCGCCGAAGCTTGACGTAAAAAGATTATCAATATAAAAATAAAAACAAAATGACTAAATATTTTATGACTAAAACACTTGATTAAGACGCAGTTGATTTTTATTTTTTTTTTTGTAATAAATTTCCAGCGACACTCAAAAAAGTTATTATCAGTTTTTTACAACAGTAAAATAAAAAATATATTTTTATTCCTTCTTAATATATATATAAGACACCCTTTAAATAATAAACACAGATGCACAAAATGCACTCATACTGACATTTATAAATACTTGAGCCTATAAAAATATACATTAACTCCAAAAAGAACTAAAAATTACAAACAGTAAATAAATAAAAAAACTGTTTAACTTAACATCTGTTATGCCGCACATGTATATGTACATATTTATGAGATATGGTTGCAACTAAATATACATATAATACATACATATGTGAATCGGCATTTCCGCTGTGAGAGAAGACTATACTTCCAACTTTTACATATGTACATACATATACATTCATACATATGTACATACGCACATATTAGAAATACAGAAAAATTGCAATTCGCAGTTTAAACGGTTTTCTGAGAATAATCAAAACACTTGTAAAGTAAAATTATTATAGCACATAAGAGTTTACATACAAACAAACATCACATACATTGTTATGTACGTCACATCAAATTATTGGTATAATTTTTAATTTATGCATTCAAATGGGAATTTTTCAAATTAAAAAATATAAAATGTTGTACGAATTAGAAAACAGGTTATAGAATTTTTTTAAACTTCATAATAGTTTATTCAGTAGTAATAGTAAAACAAATGCTCAGAATCGTGAAATACATGCATACGTTTTTAGGTGTGTACATATGTCAAAATAAAAAATAAAAATCACGAGAAATTTTTTTTCCTTTCATTTGTAATAAACAAAAATTAGTTTATATTTTTGAAAAAAAAAAAAATGAAAAAATTAAAACTTACATAATAAAATCTTCTCATTGCATTGGCGTATACGTTTATGGTATCAGCAATTTAACTGATACACTAATGAACTACCACATTCGATGAGACCATATACTATGTTCCGCCGGTGTATTGAGGAGCTGCACGTCTGTCTAAATTGTGCTATATTGATAAGCCGCACGTCTGTTGAAATTGTAAACAAATTCACGTCTACAAACAAACACACACGCCCATATACGTTGTTAGTAAACAAAACATTTCTATGGTTTATTTTATTTTCATAAAATTTTGTACGCGTGCAAATCAAAGGACACTGATTAAATTGTTAACACCAAAGCAATTAATAAAATTTTGCTTGAAAACCATTAACAAACAACAATGAATTGTTCATAATCATGTGCCTGCATATGTACATACAAACGTGTTATTAAGCAAATACCAATCAGTTCAATAAAATATGTATGTTTAAAATATTTTTCTATTAGTGACCGGTGTTTGTGTGCAAATGCGTTTCCGCTTCCACTAAAGCCCACCGGCGTTCATGTTTCAACGTCAACTTAAGTTTTATACATAACACACACACACACACACACACACACAATTTCTGGTATTAAAATAATTTGTTTTTAAACACTGTTTATAATATTTACACGTTCTTTTTTGCGGCGCTTAAAAATAAATTTTACAAAATTCCTTCCTTTTCATTCGGCTTTTCCGCTCCTTGAGTTAGGGTTGCCATACCTATGTTACCGCGCTTATATAATAAAAATCAATTAAATTTTCAACAAAGCTATTCGCCATTATATTCGATTTTATTTATAAAATATATTTACAAAAAAATTAACAAAGCTACTAGCAAGATATCTGTTTTAATAATCAAAGTAATATAATTAGTATATTGAAAAATTTAGTTATTAATTATATTATAAAACATTTTTCAATAATTTCAAATCAGTTCCTATTGTAACCCTACAAAAGCGCTGTTCGTTGAAAAATGACACTAAATATGAGCCAGTAATAAAGTGTTAAAATTGCATTCTTTCGGTGTGTATTTTATTGGTTTTTTGCTCCAGCACTAATAATTTTCCCATCAGCCAACGAACAAAGCTATAATTATTACATAGTCGCCACAAATTTATTTTAACGCCGTCGCATTTACTTATTGGTCTTATCATTTGACGTTTCGCATAACCTCAAATGTCACTAGTAAGTGTGAGTGTGCAGTTTCTTCTTTTTTTTTGGCTTATTGACATTTCATCACAGCTGATAGCGATTGCGGCAACATAAATTCTTTTATAAAAACCGAAAAGGGAAAATTTCAAATTGGTTTTGATTTATTTTGACTGCAACTTATTTGGAAAACAATTATGTCCAAACACGATGCATATGGCACACCTACCAAGCCAGATAATAATTGTCGTACATGCACAGATTTCAAATTCTGGTCTAAACAACAGCGACAAATATTTCATAAGGCGGTAAGTTGTTGTGTGTAAGTTCTAGAATGTTGGAAGCAACACAAACAAATGTAAGAATTGTCTAGGTGAAAATTTTCATAACTACCTAATTACATTGGATGATACGAAATGTTACAGGATACGCCGAAAGAGGAAGTTAGCGAGAGTGGTACATCCGTCAAAGATGGTTGTCCGTTAGATAAAGTTGCTCTCGGGCATGCAACCTGGGGCTTATTACACACCATGGCAGCATTTTATGAAGATAATCCATCGGATAATCAAAAGCGTGATATCAAAACATTTCTAGATGTATTGTCACGTGTCTACCCATGCGAACATTGCGCCAAGGACTTTCGTAAAGAGTATGTCACGTTGTTCGACATTTTTTTGAAATATTATACAATTTTCTAACTTCAATTTCCTTTTTCAATTAAAGCCTCAAGGAGCATCCAGCGCAGGTGAACTCACAATATGAATTCTCCCAATGGCTGTGCAAATTTCACAACCGTGTCAATGTAAAACTCGGTAAAGCACAATTCGATTGCTCTAAAGTCAATGAGCGGTGGCGGGATGGTTGGCTGGATGGTTCCTGTGATTGAATGATATAGTATACGCATTTAATGTATTAAACTTCAAGCAGTTGTTAAACAAATAAGCTCTTGTAACAAACATATGATACAATGGCTGTTGTAATTATTTCATAATCATATGTACATACATACATATGTATGTCGACGGATTATTATTATATCTATACAGATTGTTAATGATAAATGTAATTTAAAATTAAAATGTAAAGATATAAGCTGCATAACCTTAATATGGAAATTATATATTTTAAATTATTTGCTGTTAATTTATGTATATAAAAGACCTATTTTTCAAAAGTAAAACGTACAAATTTCAAACCTTGTTCTATGATTATAAGCTAATAAGAAGTAGCAATTCCAACAGGTACTCACGCCGAAAATTCTTATATGAGTTTATTTGGTAAAAAGATCCAGGGAAACTATAGATTTATAGATGCTATTTAAATTTTTAATATTTCCAAGTGTTTATTGAACGCCTAAAAGTATGTCACCTAGAAATGTCCAAACATTTCCTTGAAATTTAGCATTTCAGGCTCACTACCAGCGACAGTTTGGATTCCCAATTTGTTTTAGCAGAAATACTTACTTTTTGGCCTTCATTTCATTCCTAATGCATGCAGTAAAATTTTCGGTGTCCAAGCCACATATTTCTTGTGCAGTGCATACATAAGTATGTACCTAATATTGGTCAATATTTAAAACACAACAACCCAACAAGTTATATGTTATCTATATCCATTTATTTATCATTACATAACTCATTTTGTTTCAATAATATAATTTTACTTTCACATAGTCAGTACTATTCCCTTCGCGTATTGAAACAACTTTCTACGTAAATAATACATAATTATATAGATGTGGGAGTGTATTTTGTTATAGTTGGTAGTTTTTGGTCAGTATCGCCTCCTCAGCGTTGAGCGTTGTGTGCTGATGTTATCGATCCCACTCGAAATGCCCTGCACCAATCAGTTTAAATTCTACCAGGGAAAGTGCCAGATTCACGTTGGTCATTCCATCTTTCCACCCAGGCGTTGGGGCACATGGATGAGAAGACTTTCTTGAAGTAGTTACATGGTTCGTACTTTTCACCGCGTATCTTCTGACAGCGATGGTAATCAATGTATGATTGATAGCAATAACGAGTCACGTTCTGGTTGGGGAAACGTGGATCGAAGGGCGCAGTTTCCAATTTGTACGTCATGGTTTTTTCTTTGCCTTTTTTGGACATGGGAAATTTATTTTTTATTTAATATATGATACTGCATTTGCATGTAAATTGCATATAAGAAGACAAAGAGAGGCAATGCGAGCGAGCAGGTGAGCATACGAGCAATATTGTTGATGATTTGTTTTTTTTTTTTTTTGTGTTTTTTTGGGAGAATGTTATACAAAGACATACAAGAGAAATATGATTGAGTTAGTCAAATATATATGAATGGATGGTTAAATTTCGTTTACAATTCGTAATTTCGTATGAATATTAATTAATCAATTCTTTTACATACATATATGTACATATTTTTGTATAAAACTTTATAAAATCAATTATATTCTTTTTTTTCCAATCCCAAATATTTTTAAAATAATCAAAGATTTATGTAGAAGCAAAATAAAGCAAATACACGTATGTATTAAGAAAAGAAAAAATGTATTCAATTTCAACACCATTAAATGATTGTATGTGGTTATTAAAAAAAAATTACTTGTTATTAAATATCAAGTTCAAATTCTAAAAAAGGAAAAAAATTAATTATTTTCATTTAAATAAAATATTTCGAATCGAAAGTACTTTTATAATTCAAAAATATTTAGTTACAAAAGCCAACTTCAAGTTTTATTAATGAAATTTATATTAAATATTTGAAAATCAGTTTTTCATGTGAATATGATTGTAAGTGTGGTTGTGAGTGGCGTACGTGTGTGTATTCAGGCGTTTGGCATACTAATACATATCACAATGATTATGTAATTTCACAGTAATTTATAGCAAATAAATAAAAAAAATATTTAAATTCTGCCTGGAAATACACCAGCTTGCATTTGTTCATTCCACTTTTCTACCCAAGCGTTGGGACACATTGTTTTGAAAACCTTTTGAAAATATTCACACGATGCAAGCTTTTCATCGTCACCCTCACGACTCTTCTTACAACGATGATATTCCACATAAGAAAACCAACAATGTCGTGTTACATTCATATTTGGGAAACGTGGATCCATTGGCACGGTTTCCATTTTATATTCAGGTTCTTTAGATTTCTTTTGATCTTTTTTCGACATTGGAAATTTTCAATTTGCTCTTTAATTGGTGTTATGTAATATTCATATTTTTTTTGCAAACGAAAAGTTGATGAAAATAATTAATGAGTAATAAATGTTAGTTAAAGGTGAAAAAAACTAAAGAAAAAATGTTAAACAACACAAACAAAATGCTTTATGGAACTTATATGGAGTCTATATAAATAACATAGATCTGTTTGTAAGCCACTAGTAAAGGAAAGCAATGAATCAATGCTTTTCAATACTATCGTTTATTTGAATTGCCAGCCTTACTAATTTATTGCTTTCCATTATCCTACTCTAATATACGCTTAGCCTATATACTCGATCAAATAAAAAAAAAACTTACAACTAATTTTAAACTCAAAATGAAAATTTTTCACCGAATATTTTTTTTTTAGAAATGGAATTGATTCACTTAATTCATTTTGAATCAAACTTATCATATTTCATATGAGTTATTTTTAATAAAATTTATACACGATATTCAAGTGATGTTTGGGAAAACTCGAAGTATATAACCCTCATTTATACGCACAAATTTTTCACACGAAGTTCTTTTAATAATTACTCTAGGCTCACTTAACCAGTGGCCTATTGCCGGTGTCCGATTCACATGCATGATTCTTGTACTTATTAACTTCTGCTAAGTACAATGACCAGAAATCTTTTGGGTCTTCACTTTGTTCTGCTTGCGCTTTAGGTTTGGCAACAACACCGGTTTTCAGAATTTTTCCACCACGTCGACGTCCCACTATCGGTGGTGGTGGCGCCGATTTGCCAGCGGATGTAGCCGCTATATAAGTAGCTGCGGTTGAGGTAGAAGCAAGTGGTGGCGCCGCTACTACAGGCGCGATAATTGCGGGCATAGCTGCAATTGGTGCATGTTGCTGATGTTGTTGTTGCTGCGCTTGCATTTTTTTGAACAATTCCAAAAAGGAGCCATCATTCGCAAATACTGGATGTGTAGCTTCTGGCTTTTTTGGTGGGTAAACTTTTCCCTCTTTGGCCAGAGCTTGACGCAATTTCTCTTCCATTTCACGATGTATGCGTTCTTTATCGAACGGTTCATCTATATCGAGATTATAATAAGCGCCGATAGGTTCACGATTTGGCAAAGGTAGATGCTGCAGATCAGTATTCTCGTTTGGCAGATATGTTGAAGACGATCGATTGCTTTCCGTGGAATTAATCGGTAGATTTTTAATTACATTATCTTGAGCTCTTCGGTCATCATCAACACGTATATTTCTAGTTAGCCTATCCGTGCTGTGTGAACGGGAATCCCGTTTGCTAGTGCGATATGAACGCGTACGGGAACGGCTACGACTGCGGGAATCCCTATGTCGTCGGCTAGAATTGTGCCTATCGCGACGACTAAAGCTTCTGCTGCGGCTGCGCGAACGTTTGTCATTATGTCGTCTACGATGGTCTATTGAACGACTGCGACTACGTGAACGACTATCACGGTAGCGACGGTGACGCGAACGACTGCTGGAGCGACTACGTTTCCTGCGTTCTTCTCTGCGCGTATCAAGATCATATCCAGTATCGCGTTTATGTCGTTGATTCATAGAAGACATTTTAGATTATGTGCTTTGTTGGCGGTTGGATGTGTTGTTTGTATGTATCTGTAAATCAAACTATAGCCCTTTTAATAAATCGCATTTAAATTACGCCTTGTGCTGCTTTTATACTCAATAATCACTATTCGCTATTTCATACTATTATTTTTTTGAGCATATTTTCTTGTTTTACATCAAAGTATAGCAAATCGCTGACCTTTGTTTTTTTTTTTTTTTGTATTGTGAAATTTTGATTAAAAAAAATTTGGAAACAAGAAAATATTAGCAACCAATGTTTATGTGAATTATGTAATTAACGTATTTCAAATGCTTAAAAAAGACATTACATGTTCTCTCTTACTGTATTGTTCCACTTTGCGAAGCACCAAGCGTTCACTACCGTTTGGTTATGTTGGCAAATGCTTCGTCCCAAAGTTTCTCAATCCGGCGGCTTTGTTGTGTTGTGCAATCGTTGTTGTAGTATAGATGTAATATCTCAGTTGTATTAACTGTTTTTAAGATCGCTCAGCTGTTGTAGTTGTGTCCTATTCATGGAAACGTTTTTTAAAAATTCCTGCGTAAAAAATGAACTTGAAGGCATGAATACTTCGTGTTTTCCCAAACTTTGCATTATCTCTTCAAATATATACTTAAATATTTGGTTTCAGTTTTTATACACTTTAACATAAGATTGGAAGCGAGTGGTCCACAATTAAAAGCTTACTGAAGTCAAAAATATTGTTATGTAATTTTTTTAAACCCCCTCCCATATTAAAAACTTCACGAGCAGTCTTTACCATTCAGACAACTGCAAAATTATGCATCAATTCCATTTCTTCCACATTTTTGCATTATAAATACAAAACAAAAAGAATGTACCACATTTTCCTGAAAATTCCATACCTTTATGTCTCCGAAAGAGATGATAAAATTTATTTTTTTATAGAGCAATGACCAAATGTCACGATCCAATGCGGCTGGTTGAGATTTTTCGTCTAAAATCAATATGGCGATGACGGAACGATTCACAATCGGTTGTTGCTGAATTGCTGACAGCGGCAGGGTTGCAATGAAAGAACAAAAGACGCAAGCTTACGCTGTGTTTACATATAGCAAAGAACGTATTTTAATAAGAAGGGAAAAGAACTGTGAACCAATTTGAAAAATTTTGTTGAGGTGAATAGTGAGGTGCCACAGCGAGATTACACCTTACTTCAAATTTCTCGCGATTTTCGTAGCACAGCGGGGCAGAGAACGTAAATACAACGAGAAGGTTCAATTGCGGACCAGCGTGTAAACTGTCAAAAGCTGCCAAGTTACGATGGATGCATTTCACCACAGGCCACCAGAAACTAACAGAGTTTGCTATTGATGCATAACATTTCTGAGCGTAGCAAAATTAAATATGCAGAAATGTACTGATCTGTCTGCAACTAACATTGATTATGTTAACTTCAGATAACGAAGTTTTTGTACGCTTGTTATCAAAATAAGCGAAATATTATTTTCAAATTATTAATATATTTTTTTAAATAGGGGTGAAAACACGAATTTCAATAATGTATTTTACATCTTTTTCAAATTTCTGCATTATCTAATAGTAAAAGTATGTCCTTATAAAGAGATGATATGCCGTCGGCATTTTGCAATAGCGTTTTTATAGAGGATAATTTATTCATGAATTGAACGCCTCTAAATTGTATTTACGTTCTCTGCTGCTATTTGCGATGAAATGCCAGAGAAAGTAAATGTGCAAACAAATCAAAAATACTCAGAAAATTAATTTTTTTCACATATGGCGATTTTCTATTTTGTATATTTTTTTTTCAAATGAATCTTTGCCAATTTTTTTCATTATGATGGAAAAAAATCTAATAAAGTTAAAGTCACAAAACATACATAACTTTTTTTTTGGATCTTTTTACAGGTGCAATTGCGGTTTCTAATTATAAGTTCTCGGCCGGACAATATAAATGGAGAAGGATGATGATTGATGTCCACAAAACACATGCACACTCATATAAAAATGCATAGATTTTTTTATTGAACTATTACATTGATAAATATGAAAATGTACACTAGTTTTGTGTTAATTTACACTCTCGCAATACACAGGCTTGAATTCTTGTAATTCAACATAATCACTTAATGGGTGTCGGGAAATATTGCGTGAGTGACCGTCTTTGCCTGGATAAAAACCGGGTTGTGCCAGTTTAAAGCAACGACTGTCGCGAACTATTGGATTTTACTCGCCTCTTACGACAGGCAATCTTTACTACGAGTAAGTCGCCCTCGATCTGATCCAACCAACAGGGCGGAGGTTTTCCTCTGCTTCCACCAGCGGGTACTGCATCGAATCATTTCAAAGCTGAAGTGCTTTAATCCATTCGGATGACAGGATCTAGCCAGTTTAGCCGCAATTCACCATTTACTGTAGATATTTTTTTTAGCAAACTTTCGGTTGTTTACATTTTTCACAGCTTCAATCAACAATTTTTGCTACTTCTCATACGACTGGGCTTTTGGTTTTGTTTTGAAACCCTTTCAAGCGAAAATTTGGTTTCGCTACAGAAGTACGAATTCAATTTACGCTCATTCTGAAAGAGCCAATTTATTCAAATATGTTCTTTGGTTTGGCTTATATTGCTTCCATTATCTATCAACATCGTTGCTGGTATATTTGTTTTTGCTCTCCGCTTGTATTTTTCAGTTTTTAGTTTATCTTTGTTTAAATTCAACATACATCTAATAAATACGATCGTAAAACAATAAATAAGCTTGCGCCTTTAGTACGGTCTCCTCGTTCACCTCTTGCACTTGAGAATCGGACACATAATACCATTTGCCTTTTGGCACTTGCACATCGCGCGCTTCATCATCACCATCATACACACCGCCAGCTGCTGCTGCAACGCCGTCTGCGAGCAACTCATCATCATCGGAGGTGTTTGTGGTTGTTGTTGACGAGCAATCATCGCTGTCATATGCAGCCTTCATGCGCAACTCACGCGCTCTCTCTTTAGCCAACATCTCTTCGAGTTTCTCGCGTTGTTCATCATCTTGATCCAACTCTGCCTTGCTACCCTGCGCCAAGAAGTTCCATCTTTTATCTTCCCGCGACAATTTTGCTCGCACCTTGACGTAGGCTGTGTAGTGACCGCCATTAATGCCTCCAGAATGTTCGACAATGCCATAAAGCGCGTATAAGAGCTTCTTTTGTTTACGATCGATATTTGGCAGATTTTTTACTTTTGAACCACAGCATGGCGCAATGTCTAATACCATTGGAAAGCCGACGCCACTTGTTAATTTGCGGAATGTACACCGCGAATCGAGCTGGAATCGTTTCAAGTGTAGTATCAATACCGCTGGCGGACTAGATATGAGAAACTGTTTGGTAGCATTCGTATTGACGGTTTTGGCCTTGGGATTTTTGCCGTTAATGCGTTTTGTGCAGTTTTCACAACCGACCCTGTTATTGCCGGTCATTAGTTCGACGCCGGTGAAGTTATTCAAACACGATTGGACTGAACATTCACCATCTTCACAATGATAGCGTGGCGCTATGGTCGTGCTCCAATCGGAGTGATTTTGCCTGCGTACACGTCTGACTTTCCTGCGAGTTGCTGACTCCGTTATCGAGTGTTGGCGCATCATTGTGGTGTCCTTTTTGCTCAAACCGACTGCAAATCGACTATTATTTGCTGTGACAGAATTTCCATCGCTGCCGGCGTCCGTTTCGTAGCAAGACAGACAATTGCTACCTGCATTATCTGGACTGCTGGCGATACCAGAATCTGTGAGGAGAAGTAGAAATAGTTAATAAAATTAGAATATATTTATTTAAGATATTTTCTGTTTCAACTTCCTACCATGTTCTTCTTCATCCGGTGAGTCTTCGTCCATGTGTTCTGGTGATTCGACCCGCAACTCCGCCTTACCGGTGTGCGGTAATTGATTGTTACCATTCGTGTCATAAGTTGTTACGTTTAAGGTACTCTGGATTTTCGTTGTAGCATTATCATCGAGTAGGTTGTCTTCTACATCAGCGCTTGAATGTTCAGATGAAGATGTTGATGAAAAATAGCCAGCAGCATCTTCATGACTACCGCAGCCAATTTCAGTGCTCGCCGGTGCTATATTTGCATCCGCCGCGCCATCTGTCGAACTCGCGTAAAAATCTTTTTGATGCAATTTAGTTTCATGATGCTTTAACGCACGTTGTGCTTTGCGTTTAAACCCTTTTTCTTTGTTCAATTGCACCTTCGAAGGTCCGCCTGACGAGGTATTCAAGCCAAGTGAGCATGTGTTCGGTATATGGTAGGGGTTGGTTTTGCGCTTAACCGGCGGTTGTGGTCTCTCTACACTAACTTGCAATGACATATCCAAAAAGTGTTCATGCCGTGAGGATACATTAAAGCAATCTTGGCAAGTCAGCGTGGAGACAAGGAAGCCACGAAACACTTGTTCTGGGCAGAGTATACGATCAGCTGCTTGATTACCGTAAATTTTACATTTTTGTCGCATCTTATCGGAAAGTCTATTTACGTCCTTATCCTTGTAGCCGAGACTGGTTAGGATTACACGTTGGTAACGGTTTACATCTTCAGATCTGCAAGGTTGATTATTAGCGAGAAATCCAAGTTGATATAAAGACCATATAAAGACCAATCTGACTTACCTCACGCTTTCAAGCAGATGACGCAAAAGTTCATGGGAGTCATGCTGGTAACCCCCTGAAAACTGCGGGCATTTCGTACAGAGTTTGTTGAACAATTTGCTGGGAGAAAAAACGCCGCCTGTAAGAATTATTTAATATATGAATATGGAAATGAAAGGAGGCTTAGATGTTATGGAGATGAAAAAGTCTGTTTCCGCTTTGCAGACCCGACCCTATCTTGACAAACTTGCAAATTATAATCCACTCTTACGAAAGAGGTTTTCCTTTGTTGCACTATATTTACCTCCTGACTGCAGTTCTTCTAAAGCCTGTGCGAGTGCTGCAGTTAATCCGCCCCACGGTGACAAAGTGCCCTTTATCATCGGCAAGTGTACATCTTCGCCATCTTTAAATTTAAATGTACCACCCGGAAGAATGAATCTTAAAAGAAAAAAGAGGTTATTTTAGCTTAAGGACATCTCAAATGTACAAACTTACTCTTCACCCGGTTCCGACATCTCCTTGAGTACGTCCAATAAATAGGGTGTTTGAGCCAAGCATTGCATTACTGCATTGAAGAAGCATGTATTGCCCAAATTTGTCAAACCTCGTACACGTGGTAGTGCCTCTCTTCCTGTCGGGTCAAAGTTGTTTAGAGGTTTTTTGATATTCAATCTAGGGTCTGATATAATAGCGGGATCTCTTCTATTTTTTGCCATACCAGGCGTGAGTTGTGGCGACCGCGTAATTTGCTTTTTTGACAATGTTTCGGATTTTATATTATTGAGTTTTGTATTTGCTGCAGTTGAAGGTACAGGATGAGGTTTTTGGGCAGCTTTCTTTACCATTTCGATACATTTCAAGAGATTTTTGCGTGAATTCGATTTAACCTCATTATCGCAATCATAACACCAGATTTCAAAAGATCGTGTATTCATTGTAAGCGAATGGAAGTCGGAAATTAATGTCTAAAAATTTAAAAGAAAATTAGTCTTTAAAATCAGAAAATTATTTAAAAATATGTATATATATATTTTACCTCATAATGTTGTATTGCATGTTGGTTCTTGGCTCGACCGCATAACTGCGTGCCACACTTCAGACATAACCATAAAGTGTTATCACACTCAAAACCATTAACAGATTCATCCATAGAAGACTCCTTAACCACTGCTGCAGTTGACTTAGAGCCCTGTTTTGTGCATTGCGTGCAGACGTTGACCAGTCTTTTCGTTTTAAGAACATTACGCAATTTAGTGGTGTCAACGGATTTTTTAACGTGCTGACAAACGCCAGCGCCGGAAGTAGGACTCGGTTTACAGCCTTCAGAGGATTCCGTGCAAAAACTATCCTCAATTATACCTGATTGATGATTCTTCTTCATCATAACTACGTATCTGTTTTCTGAGTGTGGTAATACAAGAGGAGGTTTTTGAGCAGTTTTCTTCACCATTTCGACGCATTCCAAGAGATTTTTGCGTGAATTCGATTTCACCTCATTATCGCAATCATAACACCAGATTTCAAAAGATCGGGTGTTCAATACTAGTGAATGGCAGTCAGAGTGTGGTGTCTAAAAATTTAAAAGAAAATTAATCTCTTAAAACAATTATTCAAAAATATATATATATATATATATTACCTCATAATGTTGCAACGCATGTTTGTTTCTGTCTCTTCCGCAAAGCTGAGAGCCACACTTGAGACATAACCATAAAGTGTTATCACATTCAAAACCACTAATAGAATCATCCATGGAAGACTCTTTAACCTCTGCTACAGGTGACTTAGCGCCTTGTTTTGTGCATTGCATACAGTCCGTGACCAGACCATTGGTTTTAAGAACTTTACACAATTTAGTGGTGTCAACGGATTTTTTAGCATGCTGACAAACGCCAGTGGCGGAAGTGGGACTCCGTATTTGACCCTCAGAGAAGTCCGTTGAGGAGCTACCCACAAGTGTACTTGATTTCTCCACCATAGCTACGTAACTGTTTTCTGCACATAGAAGATATAAGAAAATGTTTTTAACAGATTTTTAGATTTGTTTTAAAGTAAAACAACAAAAAAAGACTGAAATTGAAAAAGAAACAATGCGGCCAGCATTTTTAATAACTACCAAAGCATTGGCAAGTAGTTAAGTGACTAGTGAACTCTTTAACAAATAACAAATGTCGACGAAATTTGAAATTCTTTGTCTTGTACAAAATTTATTTTTTACATACACACAAATATGTTTTGTTCTTTATCCTAGTTTTTCATTCGGTATCAAGCACAATTAGAAAACAACTGAATTTAAAACATATACTATCAGTACAACTTTGTTGTGAATTTATTTACCTTCGGAAAATTGTTAATTTTTCTATTCGTTTATTTTTTATGCTTTTAATATTCGGAGGATGTATTTGTAACAATCCTTTATACGAACTGATATAATCCTTAATCATTGTTGAGTATTTATACATTTGTGTTGACTGAAGCAGAGAATGTTTATTATGTTTGTTTTGTTTAAGATGCTTAGTTCACTACCTGAAATTTTCCCAAATTGTGGCCCCAGCACCAGAGAGCCCTGGCGCAGAGTTGTATTTTTGGGTATACACTTGAGTCTACCAAAAGCAAGGCGAATTCAGTAAATTCGCATTAAACAAAACGGCGGCGATGAAAACAAAAACAAAGACTTGTTTACTTATTTGGATATTTACCCCAAAAGTAATAATGTATAAAATAATCTAATCAAATATCTTTTATAATGCTTAAATTAGCATTACTAAATATTGTTGTCGCATTTAAATGCGTGAATTCCCCTGTGCTTGTTGTTTTATAAAAGTATGCTTACTCACTTTCGGTAAATTAACAGAAAATGTTATGTTAACAGTCGATGCTATGGCAACTAATATAATCATTTCCGAGTTTCGGAATATTCCTTGCTAGAGACGTGAATTTTCGAATATAGTGAGCAACGAGGCTTTTATTTTGCATGTTGAAATTTTTTCTGCAAAAATTACCTTTTTGCATTAGTTTTAACATAAATGCATATATTAAGTAATTGGTGAAGAGAAGGCTTCTCCTCTTTAAGCAAAAAAAAACCATAAGAAACAAACAAAAAGTAATTGTGGAATTTCAAACTATTCCCTCAACATATAAATAAGCGTGGATGTGGCACCTATCAGCTGATTGCGCAAAATAAATAGTTTGGGGAAACAAACAAGCAAAAAAAAAATATAGAAACATGTATAAAAGCACTTTCGTTTGAGCAGCATTTGTCCGTGCAGCAATAATCTGCACTTGGAAATCATAATATCGCATAAATAGCCAAATAAAATGAATACGGTCTCTTGAAATCATGATTTCAGTACTAGAGACAAATTTTGCGAACTGCAAATGTAAACAAAAACCAGATGTTTGAGTTAACATACTTTCGGCGGAAACGTTTGACACTTCATCCCCTTAACACAAGCCTTAAATGCTTTTAAGTGCTCGATGGAAATAGGTCATCACTGTAAAACCATATCTGTTAATGATTTGACATTAAATAAACATTGCTACTAATCGTAACTGAAAGTAAATTCCCATATTAATCTTAAATTAGAATCAACGCCAAATGTTTATTGGGTTTACATATTACATTCCAAAGATATGGCAGCTCAGAAAATAGTTTGACAATCCATAAAAAGTGACAGTTGTTTGAGAAAAAAAATTCCCATCCTCTGTCATTCCGGTTGGAGCTCTAGTATAACAGTATTACTGATTCTACTTTAGTTGGAGCAAGTGGATTTGGTGTCGAAGTGGAATTAATGTTGCGCAAAATAATAGAATTCAATTGAATAAATAAGTAGTATTATTAACTTATTCAGCAGTTTTTACGTTCACCGATTAACATAATAAAAGAGTAGCAAAAGTCAATTTTATTTTTTTTATAAGTGCTTCAAACGCGACAAAAAGAGAATCAATTGAGTAAACTACATGATAAGTGATGCGAAATTTACTTGCCTACTGCTAAAAACATTAAAGGCGGAAATAAAAGATAAGCAAAGCAAAGAAATTTATCAAGGTTCTTTCGCCATTTGTGAGTTATTAACACATGCGAAAAGTTAAAACTCATTAAAAAAAAAAAGGTGAACATCATAACCTGCTGCAGTGAGTGTCACGTTTGGTATAAAAAAAGAGTGAAACAAATTTAAGACATTGCAAAATTATTTATTTTTGCACAGTAACCAATTAAATCGGAGACATGGCACCAGCGCTAAGTAAAATAGCGCAAAATCAGAGCGCCATCGTGGGAGTGGCGGGTGTTTCGGCCGCTCTATGGATAATTGCCTATGGCAAAATGTCCAGTAAACGTAGGTAAGTGTGTAAATCCAAACTGTACATATATATGTACATGTTTGTACGCTAATTGATATGTTAATTAGGTAAAGCTTTTTCATTTGCAGATTCTATGGTCAAGCTATTATAGAGTTAGGTCTGCGATAACTATGATTTTATTTAACGATAAAACTTTTCACTTTTTTTTACTGAATTTTTTTTTTCTCCCACTGCTTATTTATGAAGACCATAATCTGGTTTTAAGACGCAATGGAAAATTATCTGGAACGGGACTTTCCGGTTTTGTGAAACGCATTTGTATAGAGTGAATAGCAAACAAATATTCTGTCGCTATCACAAATGTATCTCAAAATTCATTCCCCAACTACTATCACTCAGTTTATAACAATTATACACACAACCAACTTTTTGCCTTCAAATCATCTTTCAAACAGTAGAAGTTAGTTTGTTTATTGTTTGTTTTTAAGCAAAACTTCATGCATTTAAAAACAAAAGTAATAATTTCATTCTGTGTGCAAACCTGTCGTTGCATCAGCTTTTATGTGTAGCTACGAATATATCGCATCTTTCACAATTGCTCATAACAACAGCATTTTTTTGCTCTTCAAGAAATGGACATTAAGTTTTCCTATTTTATGCACTTTGTATTTATATATGTATATGTTTGTATGAAAATTATAGTAACTTCTACATGTGCTACGTATTTACAGTATTTAACTTGTTTTAGCTGTCATTTATTTCTGTTTTTCATCCATTCTTCTTTGATTACACGATCAGCTGAGTGCGATCAGTTGTAGTAAGTACAACTCGCTGATAGATGCTCAGACATTCGCCTAAGCAGCTGTAAGGCTATACACCACATACGTAAATACATATGTGCATATGTACATATACTATAAGAATACATATAAACAAAAAACTGCATTCATGTGCAGTTTGTTTACAAACACCTCTCGACACGTTCACTACTTCAATTTAATGCCTCAATTTTCTTATATTTTCTTGTCTTCGGCATGATTTCGTTATTTAGGCCAGTCGTCGACTCCAAACCATTTTTGATTTTACTTCTTTTTCGATGCATGAAGCAATAAGCAATTACAGTTGAATGAAAAAAGTTACAAAATTATAATATATAGAAGTGCAAACATATATATATATATACAAGTAGAAGGGTGTAGCAAGCTTGGCAACTCAGATTTTCGATTGTTTAGTAACGAAAAAAAATATATATTATTTTAAAAAGACTTCTTTTGAGATATCTTTGCCAGTTCCGCAATGTAATTAAAACATTTCTTTGTTTTTTCTAAAATTAAAATCAAAGTGTAAATTCACTTGATATGCTATAAAGCTTTGCTGAATCAAAGGTTAAAGCAGTTTAGTATTTAAAAGCAAATTACGAAGTTGTGCAATATTTAGACTATACTATTATGTGTGTACAGTAAATTCAGGCTAATTTGATTTAGACAAAACCCTTATGGGCATTTAAATTTTATTGTAACTTAAGTTCATTAAGTATTTTATTTTGCATCCAAGACACTGCATTTACATTACCGGAAGAAGTTGAAAAAGCTTGCAACAACAATAAGGGTTTCTTTAGTGGATTAAATGTGGTAATTTTACTTCTGAAAGGTCGAATTTCCATTACGTTAAATACGTTTCCATGTCAATGTGTACAACTGTACTATGTTTTATTTATTTATTTATTTTTTTTCAATTTTTTAAATTTCATTTAAGTGAAGCGTGTAGATTAATTAGCACACCCTTGCGGGCTCAGACTGTATTCCATACATTCGAAATGAAATGTTTATTTTAATAGAGGTTTAAAAAAATTTACTTGTCTGTTTGTATCTATGAGCGTATACAAATGTGAGCAATGCAGACGCACTGAGTTCTCTGTTAAATGAACTGTGCAGAAAATCATTAAACCATTGACCCCCGTATTAATTTATAAAATGGAAAAATTGTTTTAAATTTACTTTAAAGCTGAATAAAATATCTTTCAGACACATGGCGTGTGTATGTAAATATGTAATTTAGTTATGTAATACACATACGTACGTAACACTATTTATTTTTGTTTCAAAACTTTTTTAATTCTAATTTTAAAAATATTTTTCTGATGTTTCTAAAGTAATTGAAAAGTAAATTCATTTAATTTAAAATGTATATTAAAAGTAAAATTAAATTATTGAGAAAATTACATTTAAAATATTTTGAATTATTAATGTAATAGATTCTTGTATAATTATTCATTTTATTTAACTGGAAATATAAGCCTCTCCGCCACTTGCTACCCTCCAAAAATTAATTAATCGTAGAGAATCAGTTTTAGGAATTTTTTCGAAAGTCTCAGATATTAATTATAGCCAAAACAGGTCAAGACCACTCAAAGACGTGTTCTTACAGACCAATAAGCTTATTATCCAGTCTTTTCAGATTATTTGAAAAAATTTCTCTTCTCTAAGATATCTCCTTTTCTCCATTGTAAAAAAACATTTTTTTTATGAAAAACACGGTACTATGATAGAACTATTACACCGAATTACTAATAAAATTAAGACATGAATTTTGACAAAAATTTTCATAAAGCACTATTTTATAAAAAAAAATATAAAAAAATATAAAAAGAATATAAAAAAGAATATTTTATAAAAAAAATATAAAAATGAATATTTTATAAAAGAAATATAGAATAGAAAATTTATAAATAAAATATAAAAAATAATATTTCATAAAATGTATAAAAAATATATATTAAAAAAAAAAAAACGATATTTATAAGAAAAAATATAAAAATATATATAATATTTAAAAAAAATTAAAAAGAAAAGAAAGAAATATAGAATAGAAAATTTATAAATAAAATATAAAAAATAGTATTTCATAAAATGTATAAAAAAATAGTATATATAAAAAAAACGATATTTATAAAAAAAATATAGAAATAGTAAACAAATATAAAAAAAGACTATTTTATAAAAAAAATATAAAAATGAATATTTTATAAAAAAAAGTTAAAATGGATATTTTATTGTTTCTTTAAATAAAAAGAGAATTTATAAAAGAATATAAAAAATAATCTCTTAAAAAAATATATAAAAGAATAATCTATAAAAAATATAAGAATATTTTATAAAAAAAATTTCATTAAAGAAAATTATAAAAAAAAAATAAGAAATAAAAAAAAAATAAAAAAAAAATATAAAAAAAATAAAAAATAAAATAAAAAAAAATATAAAAAAAAATATAAAAAATATTAAAAAGAATATAAATAACATAAAAAGAAATATAAAATGATATAAAAAAATATAAAACATTAAAATAAAAAATAAAAGAGAAACATAAAAAAATATAAAAAAATTTAACAAAATAAAAAATAAAAGAGAAACATAAAAAAATATAAAAAAATTTAACAAAATAAAAAATACTAAAAAAAATAAAAAATACTAAAAAAAAAACAAAAAATACTAAAAAAAAATAAAAAATACTAAAAAAAAAATAAAAAAACAAAAAAAAATACTAAAAAAATATTAAAGATATAAAAAATTAAAAATATAAAAAAATATAAAAAAAATATAAAAAAAAATATAAAAAAAAATATAAAAAAAATATAAAAAAAATATAAAAAAAATATAAAAAAAATATAAAAAAAATATAAAAAAAAATATAAAAAAAATATAAAAAAAATATATAACAAAAATATATAATAAAAATATAAAAAAACACAAGAAAGTTATAAAAAATATAAACAAATTTAAAAAAAATATTAAAAAAAATATTTATATAAATTAAATTTCGTATATGGTATGTTTTTAAAAACGAAATTGATTATAAATATTTATTGTAAACATTTTCGTGGCAGTTAATTACAAGACACAATACAGCACACTACGAGTATACGTGTATGTGAGTGATTTAGGAAAGGCAAAAAAAAATTAGTTGCTTGAAATAAAAGTATCTACACTTCAACAGAAATTTTTTAATGTCAACAACTGGTTGCAATAAAAACTACAGTTTATGCGTGAGTAATAATTCATATTTCATTCCTTAAGGGATAAAGCCACTCTAGGATTTTAGAAAACTTAATTTTCTTTTGCTCCCTGGGTACCTATGGGTCCTAGAAATGATATGCAATTAGTATTAAAGTGAAAAAAATATTTCAAATCCAAACTTTTTATAATGCTGCGGCCCATCAAGGCGTGCGCTGAGTACAATGAAAACTTTAAACGCGTTTTTCTCAAAATCACATTTTCGAAACTGGGAGGACAGATTATTCGGACCCTATTGCAACGATTTATTTGAAATTTTGGTGGTAGCTACATAAATACATTTTTTGAAAGTACGTAGTATATTTTGTTGCGCTTCAAATGTGTGTTCAATGAAACCGTTAAATAGGAATTGCATCTCTTTTCCCATATTCCTACAATAAATTTAAAAAAAAATGAGTCTATTTTTCAACCTCTAGAGTGACTATTGTACCTCTTAACGATGCAGAAGAATATATGTGTTATGATATTAATAAAATATTACAATACTTGAGATTAGCAGAAAGTTCATATGCGATAAAAAAAACATTATACACATGCATGCATACATATGTACACGTATGTATACTTATACATATTGAATTCTCGATAATAACTAAGCGTAAATGTTGATATATAAATGTATATATACGTGTATGTAGGTATATACAATGCTAAGTGTGAGTGTGAGTGAGGGTTTCGCCAAACTATCGATGGATGCTTAATTAATTACATAGTTATCGTGCTATATTGATAGATTTTAATAATATTTTAGTCATAGTAATGTACGTTTATACTCGCTTTATGGGATTATACATGACTTTTACATATTTATTCGTGCGAAGTCAGTTATTATAACCATTATTTGGTACAAATTGCTCATTCTTATCAGCTTTATTATACACTTAATCAGCAGTTTCGTTAATAAACTCAAATTTTTGTGTATTTGTGTTGCTTTTATAAATATTTTTTTTTTTTTAATAAAATTTGGTT